GGCAGACATTAAAAGGAGTCAGTACCTGACCAAAAAACTTGCAATCTCCATGTATTATATGATATTGTATTTCTTCTATCTGCAGGGAAACAAACAAAAAATACTTCCCTGTTGTTAACTCTTTTGTTGTCACTTTTGTTCCTTTTTCCCTGGAGACTGTGTGAGAAGGACTCTTTCAAAAACAAACAAACAAACGAAAAAAACAAACAATAGCATGCAGCCTGCTCAATATTTCTATATTTATAACATTATTGCTCAGGCAATTTTCCATATTGGATTATTGCTTCAAAAATATTAGTTTACACTTGAAAGAGAAGCTTAGTTGACAGTGGAATGTAAGTAAAAATATTTCACAAATGTAATAGACATAAACAAACAATCTGTAACAATTATTTTCTTAAACAAATGTTGACTTCTTTGTTCACCAACTGCTTGTAATCAGATTTTTAATGTCTTGAACTTAATAATTATTCATAGCTATTCCTGGAATAATTTCTGAGAATAATTCATGTGCTGTATCTCATTTGAGAGCACTGATTGCATGTGTTTGATAACTGACAGTCAAGTTATTCTGATTTGGGACACAACATTCCCTGACTGGGTTGGTACTACTCTCATAGTCAGTTTTGAGCTATAAATATTGTGTATTGTTTTTTTGTTTGTTTTGATTTTGAACAATGCAATGATAACTGTTGTGCATTACTAACTTAGCCAGCAGTCATTCATTCATTCATGTGAGCAGATAGTGCATTGATATAAATATCTTAGACATGAAATTCATTTACTAAAACAGATAGTGGATTTATGAGTGACATGAATGAAAATGAAGTTAATACATTTAAAGATTTTTCCCAATGGCATCTGAGCATAAACACAGTAGAGTCATCCAGTTTGCTTGAAAAGTAATTATCCAAATGTATACACCCTTCTCTTGAAGTTGTGCAAGACATTTTAGAAACAGACAGGAAGAATACATCTTTTTATTTGTTGCACACACTAAACATTCTGTAGCATTTCTGCAATGATTCTAGTAGCCAGTTAATTTACAGGACTACCCAGGGTGAATTGGGTAGTCAAAGTCAGAGATAAATCCAGTCATATCTACAGAGTTCATGGTTCAAACCTAAGAAAATGTTTGAAATGTTCAGAACAGACAGTTGACATACCACCCAGATCTGGCATGAAAAATCTCATGTACTACAATTTAACCAGCGTTATTATGGCATACTGTAGCTTTTTCTTGGTAAAGGAGGGTGTTGGAATAGTGAGGGGGGTTATAGGAAAAGAAATCATAGAACTCTCATCTTCTGTCAGTGGATAAGATCCTATTATTTCTTCCTCATATATTTTACAAACAAAGTGCATCCAAAGGTCAGCTTTCAGCTGAGTGCATTTTGGACCCAGCCCAAAGGTCAGTAAGTTAGTAACAGCAGTCCCCCTTTCACTGGTCACTTGAGGGATTGCCATCAGTATTACATCTAGCAAAATGTAACACTTGCAAGAGCAGGTAAAAATTCCTTGCTATGTTATGGTTGTTGTATTTTTTTTTTTATTTGAGAAAAAAACAAAAACAAAAACACAGTCATACAGACAATAAGAATGAGAGATAAAAATCCTGCACAGAAAACATTTGTAAATTAAATACATTATAAACAGAATTCAAAGTCAATACATAAACCATTAAAATAAGAAACAAGCTGTATTGCAACTTTAGAAAGGAAATGATTTGTTGTATGCTGCAAATTTGATGTTTGTAAGCACAATCCTTAACCTGTTTCTGAAAACACATAATTCATAGCACAATATCTAAGTTCTCCAAATTTTTTTATTTTTTTTTCCCTGAATAATGTGTTTTTCACAGATTGGAATGAAAATATTTCAGATTCATTTGTAACTTATATTTAGGTAGTGTTTTGAACAATAACTGGGGCCAATTTGTTTCTTAGCATGAAATACCCAATTTAAAGACGTGTCTTGTGAGCCAGACTGCTCATTCATTAGTCTGCTGTATTTTAAACCTTTCTGAATATTCACTGTAATCTATTATACACATTTATTCGTAAACATTTTGCTATGTGTTTTATTAAAGTGAACAATGAATGTTTATAAAAATGGGTGATAGAAAATGGTTCTACATACATAAGGTCTTTATTATTAAAATACTGATAAACATAATTCATTTGCATTATGCCCAGCTATGGAAGGAAAAAAAAACGCAACATATTTATTCAGCATAAATAAAAACTTGTTTATATAATTTTAACATTTTCAGACAGTTCCTGAAAACTGCAGTGTTCATGAATTCTAGAAAACTCAGGTACTGTTGGCAGTGCTAATTGGAAACAAGACATCATTATCTATCATTAGCATTTATTACTTTCAAGCAAGATGAAGTATAATTTACTAAAATTCAAGTACCCACCTGAAAGCATGAGGCAATACATTTTATAATGTGGATAAGATTAACTCATTAACAACTTCTTAAATTTTATTCCTAAGTTTTCAAAGTATTGCACTATACTTTAACACCACAACTCTGAAACACAGGGGACAATGTTGCATAACTTAGACTTACCTTCTATATGTACCACTTGTGGAAAAAATTACATATGTGGGACTCTGAGTCCTCCAAATAGTTTAATTATTTTTATATCCCAATTGTTTTTCAACATCAGAACCTCTGATAAAATTTTCCTCTACCTAGATTAAATTTTCAGAACTTGGATATATGATTCTGTGCTTATTCCTACCCTGTGGACTAGAATATTTAAAATGTGTATACCATTAACCTTTATAATCATCATATATTTATGTTTATTTTTAACTTAACTGTAGCTCTTGCTTAGTGTTTTTGAACCCATTTTAAAGTCTAGGGATCAAACACCCTTTCAGTCAGATAAAGACAGATCAGTTCCAAAGAAAAGAATAAAAATGTTATTTATTTGAGCAATGAGGACCTCCTAAATTCCTTCCAACCAGAATTATCTGGTGCTCCTATAATATGAGAATACCTTAAGTGCAGAGACTGTATACTTAAACAGTAACTGGCTTTTAATCTCTCATTAGGTGGGATATTTTCAAATTGATAGAAACTAAGCAAAATTAAATTGCAGCTTGTGTCAATACTCGTGGGAAATCACACAGCTCAAAAGGCTTTGAAGAATAGTGCTTTAAGATGGTATAAACAGAGAAATGCAAACAAAGGAGTTAAGACTGAAGTCACAAAACCCTAACTCTTGGGGTCAACAAACTACCTGAGGGAGGATTGATGTTCGTCACTCAGCAATCAATGGTTTTAGATATAGAAAATCACAACATTAATGAATAAACTGCACTAGCCTTTGACTGATCTCTTCCTGTACCTGAAGGAAGCCGCTGGCAAAAGACACAGGGTCAGCAGCATTACCATTTGGCTCCCTGGCTGCTCTTGCAGCTTCTCTAATGTAAGGCAGCAGAACATTGCAAGAATTGAAGAACTTGAGTTATTTGTGTTCTCTCATATGTCTTTTTCTTCTCTTTTTGTGCTTTGCTTTCACTCACTGATAAATATCTAAATTCTCTAACTTGTTCTCTAACTGTGGAGCAAAAAATGTGGTTGTGGACATGCAGTGGTTGCACTGACAGCCAGAGTTGTTAGGTATAAGAAAGGGTTGGTCTCTTTTAAACGCAGGAAATGCATGGTTCCATATAGATACATGGTGAAGTGTGTTCTCTAATCCATCCTGAAAGATCTTAAGAATCTAACAGATTTTGATTAAAAACTGTTGAGCTAGATCTTTAGTAGATGATTATTTATTTATTTATCTTTTTTTGATGTAAAGGCATATTATTATATCCTGCTTCTCTTTCATAATGGTTGCACTCTTTAGCTGGGAGATTATACAATAGAATCTCATATGAACCTTTTATTAGGAAATGCTTAGGAAAGAGTTAATCAATTTAGGAAATTTTGATCAGCCTTGTAGTTATAACTCACACATTAGATAATAATCAGGATTCTTTTGTGAAGTACTTGAATTGGTCCAAACTAGAGATTCAGCTCATGCAAGTGAAGTTCCATAGTTAGATTCATAAGCAAACAGATGAAAAGCTTCCATGCTATACTTTGAATAACTCTTGAGACACTTCCCTCTTTGAGTTGTCACCTGACAATGTGAGAATGAACCAATGTGTTTTAGGATTGGCAGTCTTTGAAGAGATGTTCCTGGCCTTTGTCACCGTGCAGTTAGCATCAATATTTTAGACAAATACAGGGAAAAAAATTATAGCTCTCTTTATATATATATCCCAGTCTGTATTAGCTTCAAACAGCAATTCTCAAGGCAAGATAACATACTAGGTTATTTATAAGAACCCTTAAAGGTGGGATTCCACCTTTTAGACAACTTTTATTCCTTCTTTTTTCACTTCCTCAGGTGGGTCCTTTGTGGTCTTTGTATACTATCTCCCATTACCTCCCTCTTTTCCAATATCATTTCTGTTGAGCATCTTGCAGAATTTTCAGTTTTAAACACTGATAAATGATACAATCAAATACTTATGTCCTATGTTAACAGGATCCTGTCTTATACTATTCTAGTTGTTTCATGTATGACTGCATTTGTAATCCTTCTCCTTTTTATGTAACAGAAGCAGTCAAGTCAGCAGGATTTAACTTATAGCTAACAATGAAAGAATAGTTGTTTACACAAAGCAGCATCCTTCTTGGAAGAGAAGTGAGAGAAAGTTGCACTTACATGAACTGCAATATATGCATTTTTCATAAAATAATATTTCATAATATTTCATATTGGAAATGTGTGAATAAAGAAATAATCTTCATAGGAATCTAAGACTTACTGGATCATCTCTGTTTAATTAAGCATTACATCTATAGGAAAGATGAGGAGTCCTTTGATTCATCCTTAAATCATAAATATGGACCTTTACTAAATAGTTCTTTAGGAGTAATGGAATAATATGGTGAACAATTTAGTGGGTAAAGTCTCTCTCTCTCTCTCTTTTTTTTTTTTTCTTTTCTGAAAGCCCAATTTTGATAGCATTCATATTTTTACCTGAGAAGAATGTCTCCTTTACAATACTCTTTGGATTTATTCTGTAGCTTACAATATGCCTGAAGTTGAACTAGATTTCATCTGTTTCTGGTGTTTTCTTGTTTGAGTTCACGTTACCGCAACTCTGATTAAAAAAAAAAAATAAAGAAAGAATTAAGCCAGTAGAGTTATAAAGGATAGGTGCAGAGAGCCTTCTAAAATGCAAGATAATTTTGGATTCTGAAGTTTTTGCAAAGTTTGAAATAGAAACCAAAATTCCATTTATGGGCTACAACCACAGATGCATGGGGATTTATACATGGGGATTTCTATTCAAATATTCTCCATCCCTTTGTATTTTTCTCATACACACAAAATTATTACTATTTCAGAATAGAATATAAAATATCTGCAGACATAGTATTTGCAAAGGGAGTGATACAGAATTTTAGGAATCCTACCCAGTTTTAGAGAAAAAAAAACTTTACTTCAGAGCAGCTAAATTTTCATTTTGCTCATAGAATCAAGTAAATGAGAAGTGGCATTTGAAAACAGTTTCTGATGATGAATGTCGTAAGTGGATTGCTGTAAAGATACATAAAGTGTCATATTCTAGGCTTCCTGGCTTGATTGATTTTAATGGGTTGGAAATAAAATACAGAGAAATCTTTATTTATGAACAGGTGGATAAAAGCGCAAAGCTAAAATGAAATATGACAAAGTATAAATACATTGCATTCTGGTTAAAAAGTGAGAGAATGTATAATAGTGAAAAATAATAAAGGATATTGCATTTTAAAAAGAACCGATGTACCTATAGCAGCTTGGATTATATTTGTGTCTATATATTTAGCTATACAGGAATATTTTGATTATGAAGGAAAAATGATAAAACCTCCAATCATATTGCCAAAAGATTTACTCATGTGAGAATCTGCTAAATAAGTTAATGATTATTCACAGTCCTGTCTAACTATCATTTCTAAACTAAGGACAAAAATGTTTCACTTAACTATGAACATTTCACTCCAACACTGTAAAAAGCAGGAGCTTTTTACAAAGCTAGTAGATATAACAAAAACAAACGAACAAAAAAAACCAAAACAGTGGGACTGGTTGATCGAATAAATGTATCTGTTCATTGCTTTAAGCATTTATTTGAACTCATTCTATCCTCAAGGAAGATCATTGACCTCTCTCTGTATTTTCCTTCTGAATACAATCACAACATATAAATCTGACAAATGATGTTTACTAAAGCTCCTCAGAAAGACATTAGGAAAGGACATATGTAAATATCATTGTGATTTTCTCTGTCTTAAGACTGTTCAGAAATATTTGTTCCATATTCAATTGCTTTGGTATTCAGCATAGATATCTTCCACCTTTTGCTTGAAAATCCCTCCCCAGCATTATTATTGGGGATTCAATTGGAGAGAGGGTAGGTATTTGGAAACCACAGACAGGGAATGTTGAACTACACTGCACCTATAAGGGGTAGGTACAGACTCACTAGAGACACTGAAAAGAGATAGGAAGTTACTACAATCCCCCGGCCTTCTCCCTGAAAAATGTCTATCAGTAGGTAAGGAAACTGATGTCATTTGAATATGTTGTAGGAAACATGTAGGCTTCCCTATTATCTAAGCATGAAAACATTACAGTGCTGAAGACTAAATCTGTAAATAGGAATCAGAATGTACCTGCTATACAACTGCTATTTGCTACTGGCAATGTTTTTTTTTTTTTTTTTTTTTTTTTTTTTTCTCCAAGTAACTTCTGATTAGTTTTTCAAAAGTTTCCAGATGAAGTTTTCCTTCAAAAGATGTATCAGAAAAGGTTCTACTTTTAGTAAGGTTTTAGTATCTGTTTAGCCAAAGCCTGAAACAGAATAAAAGAAACATTTCCACCATGTAGGTAAGAAGCTTTTGAAGATTTTTGACTCAAAGGTAGTTGAAAAAAGCATAAGATTTTCAGTACCATTGTGCTGATCCCCTGCTTGGACTGATACACTTTACAACGATGCTAATGAATTAACACTTTAAACGTCACTTACAGGGACAAACGTGGCCTGTAAACTGCTCCAATACAGCAGTTACATCAGTAAAAGCTGTGAAAAATCTAAACGTTGCTGCTATCTGTCCCTCACATCTGAAGCAGAAGGTTTTTAGCAGTTCACTCTTGCAGAATCTTGGCAGAATTATTTATTCTTCTTGTGACTACAGATAACAGTGAGAAGGCTGACAAAACAGGTTCTGCATTGCAATTTGCATTAACCACTGTTTCATGTACTCTGGTACTGTGGTAAGAAGTCCACTTCAATACTTGAAAGTAAAAGTAGCACCTTAGATAGTTTATACTTCACATGAATAGGCCATGATTCTTTTCCTTTGTAGCATTAAATAAAATTAATAACTGTTCATTTTCTTGATAGTTTTGTATTTAGGATTTCTTCCCCTAATGAATTTGGCACCTTCTCAACATAACTAAGGAAACAGTCTAAAACTGAAAGTTCAGCCAGTACTGCATTGTACCGTATTATAGATTTCAGTTTGTGTACATTTATATATCTAGATGAAAATGTTATCTGCAAAAATTTAAGATCTGATATCATTATTATGAGGTCATCCTGAAGGAACAGACTTATTGCAATTTAACACGATATGCAAAATATGTGAAAGCCAGTGTCCTATTCTATGAATGAATTCATTACGTATTTAGAGCTTGAAATATCTCATTTTAGTTGTTCATAAAAGGATTTCTATCAAACATACAAACCACTCAAAGCAAGCTGGAGTTTCAAAATTGGGTTACTTTCTTTATACTCACAACAGAACAGCTTCCTGAATCTAATTGGATCACCCTGTGTTGTTATCTTGAAATAAACCTAGTTATGCGTGAGCAAAAAGGGGAAAAGGTAACAGAAGATAGATGTAAAAGAGACCTCAGGATGTCACCTAGATCATTTCATCTGCCTCTAGGAAAACACAAATTTATTTACATAATTATTTACTGCAATTTGTCAAATGTGGTTTTAAATCTGCACTGGGGGACATTCCTTAGCACTTTAGCTCTGTTTTACTATTATTTTCGTTTCCCTAAAGTAAATTTCTGTTACTGAAACATAGAACCAACATTTTTTCCTGAGTCCAAAAGGAGCTAGAATAGGACAGTCCCTTGATAGGATACATGAAATAACTTGTATCCCCAGCATAATTATGTACTGGTGGTTTTAGAATTGTACTAGTCTGAAAGTGCTATTTCACCTGTAGCACTGTGCTTGTGAAGAAGACGTCTCTGGAATTAGATGTACATATGAAGTCTTGATACCTGGCAGTCAAAGAAAGGCAAAAAGGATGATTTGGAGCTCAGGCAAATACACTCTGTTGATGTAAATAATTCCTGGAGATTTAGCTTGATAAAATGTTCTTTGCTTTTTTTCCTAAATCATTTTGCAGTATGTCTCAGCACCGAAGTGATTGTACCTTAAATCACATAACTGACATGGGATGAACTGTGGTCCATGCTATATTCCTGCATATCAGATCAACGAGTAAGTGATCCCTAAATCTCCTGTACTAGAATTCCACACTGCAGAAAAGGGAGCTATAAGTATAAGCTGTACAGTAGATCACATGAATTTAATAATAGAAGCAAGAATAAATGAGAAAATAAAGTTTCTTTTCAAAGTCATTAACTTCTGGTATATTCAACCTCAGTGGCTGAATGTGCTCTTGGTATTTTCAATAAGTCTATATCAATATAAGAAAGAGAATCAGAATTGCAGAGACTAGAATCATGGAACCTTAGAGTCATAGAACCATAGAATGACTTGAGTTGGAAGATACCTTAAGGATCACCTAGTTCTAACCATAGGCAGGGATGCCACCTACTAGATCAGGGCCTCATCTAACCTGGTCTTGAACACCTCCAGAGACGGGGCATCCACAACCTCTCTGGGCAACCTGTTACAGTGCCTCACCACTGTCTGAGTAAAGAATTTCCTCACAACATCTAAACTAAATCTCCCCTCTTTTATTTTAAAGCCATTCACCCTTGTCCTGTCATTAACTGGTTGAACAAAGATTTGCAAACTTGATGAGGGTGCACTTGATTCCACTGTCTATGTCACTTATAAAGATATTAAACTGGAGGGTCATTCAGGCTGGAAAAGACCTTGAAGATTGACTTACTAATATCAGAATACTACTGGTTGAATTGATAGGTATTGCTATGAATATATTGTTATTGAGCTATTATATTGGTATGGTCATAGCAACTATTTGCCATAGCAGGAAAAGGGACTTGGCAGTATACATGTCCTGAAATATTTTTTTCTTGTTATATTTTTGTTATTAAAACTAAGAAACAGAAACCCAATGGGACTTTGCATACGACAGCGCAGTTATAGGGATCAACCACAGATAACTATATTTTTTGAATTAGATGAAACTATGATGCTTAGATGAAACTATGATTCAGCTAGATGAAACTATGCCCGTCAACTTGACATTCTCTGAAACTTAGAATGTATTTCAGACACATTAATGACATTTTACGTTACGATTAGATTCTGTATTACCATTTAGATCTTAAACAACATCAGAAACAGATGTTTGGTTATTGGCTTAGCGTTTTGGTTTTAGTTTGTCAAATGCACACTGCAAACCCAATCACTGTCCCAAAATGATCTGTATGCCAGCATGGAACACCTGTATAGAGGACCGTTGCCTATTTGTTATGTATTACATAACAAATTTGCAAGATTAACAGTAAATATTTTGCCAAAAACTGCTAGGTTCAAGGTACTAAAACTGGGATGTTACCATTAGTGGGTCTAGGTCCAGACAGGCAAGAGGAGTGATCTTCATCTATGTAATGGTGCAGCATACAACATAGATAAGGTATGTCATGAGGTGGCCTGTGCAACTATGGGGTGGGATCTGTAACTCAGCAATGGTTTGCACTGTTTTCCTCTATCTTTCATCACTGAATTATTTATTCTTGTTAGTACATTACAGGTTTTGTGATTTTTTTGCAGGCCTATTTAGAGATTAGGATGGGGGTCACAGACTTCTTTCTTTAATAAGTACCTGCTCAGACTGACAGCAAAAAAAAAGAGGAAAGCAGCCCAGAAAGCCTTTGCCAATGTACCAGCTACCTGGTCACAAAAAAAAAAAGACAAAAAAAAAAGAAAAAGACTCAATGTTTGAATGTTCATGCCAGATGCTGTGGAACAGGGAAATTATATCAAACCCAAATTTTAAGCTTGATGGGACAATCTTTGACTTCTTTTTTATTTCCCTTACAGGCACCGTTGTTTACACTGCATGTGGTTGGTTAGGTTATGCACAAGTGGTTTAAATAGAATATACCCTTTCTGTTATGTCCCCTGATTGGTCAGTCACTCACAGAATTCCTTAATATCTCTTTTTTGCTGTGAGACATGGTACCTTTGAAATTAAACTGATGGTGCTAGTAGAGACACAAAGGTCAGTGGAGATGACTACAGATGTGGTAAGAGCTGAACGTGGCTCTGCTTTCTGCATCAGGGTTCTCAGCTGATTCACCAGCAACGGATCTACTTCTGCAAAATCATTTTCTTGGTCTTGGCTGAGGGGTTTGGCCATGTTTTGCATGCAGTACAGTCTGATCCTCTATCAGACTGTAATGAAACAGGCAGTTCTTTTATATCCTCTCACAAAAGATTTCATCCTCTTCGCCTGGTGATCTAGTGTTCTCAGCCCATGAATCCCGGACAATGGTGGTGCCTCAACAGACCTGCTAAGAAAATCAAAAGTGTGTTATATTGTGAAAATTGACAGGATTCTCTCACATCACGTGTGTTACAGCTGAGATGGAAATTGATACTTCTACCATTTTAGAGTTTTGTTATATGAGCTTGCTTGTTGGCTTGTAAAAATCATATTTATGTCTTTAAATAAACTTTTCAGTAAGAATGGAAAGGAAGGACTACTGCCACATTATGTTCCAACACGATTTGAAGGAAGAACACATTGAGGACATCAGTGTGGTTGAACTGCTAAAAAGCATCAATAAGTGGACAAACAGCACAACTTTACAGGCCTGCAGAGGAATGTCTTTTAACTTAGCAGAGAAATTTGGGCAGCATCTGGTATAACAACTGATGAGCATCAAAATCTAGCCATCTATCTGGTAAGGTCCAGTCTAGACAAAAATCTGTGCAGTAATTTTGTTTCATACCTAAATACTGATGGAAAACGAAAATATACATCAAGATTTTAACTATCAAGTGCAATGGAAGGGGCAAACTTATATGGATATTAACTATTTGCTGAAATGAAATGCAGCTGTTTGAGAACATCAGCTTGATTATTACCCTCACCTGCCATCTGTTCCTCACCATTGAGGCACGTGAATTTGCAACACAAGAATGGTCATCATATATATCCCAGAAGAGATTTCACTTCTGATTACAAAAGTAGTCAGACTAAAAGTTCAGGAGCCAAACATAGCTGGCAGAAAAGGGTTTGAACGTTCTCTGCCTGATTTCCAAATGTCTAGGGAGCAGCGTATGAACTTAATAGGTTGAACATCCCTTGGTATGTCTGGGCAGGTGGAGGTCCATTTTCACACTGAATGGAAGGGAAAGGAAAATGATGTTCCATCAAGAAACTCAAAGTGTAGTACAGAATTGCCTGTCGGAAGTGTGCCAAATCTGATGTGTTCCTCTGCCCACTGGAATCGTCTTTTCCTTGTTCTCTTTGGTCTCAGACAATACTTTCATTCCATTTACCTTAAAATCTCTATTTTCACATCAATGAAAACACATTCCTAAAACCAGCAAGGTTTCTAAATATCCTTGCTAAACCTGTAATCTTTTATGGAATCCTGTAATTAATGATTATAAACACTTTTGGGAAAAACAGCCAGTTGTTCATTTAAATCTTTTCTCCTGAGGGTCCATCCTGTTTGCTGAGTAGCCATTATGAGATAGGAAGATGAGGAAGAAAAAAGATGGCTTTAAAAATACAGCTTCTGCTAGTTAAAGCAAGACATTCCTCATGCAGTATAGACTACGGCAATAATTTTATTCCTCAAAACCCATAATTCTCTTCTCCCCAGACACAATAAGATACAAATGGCACTTACCATTGTGATGATCAGGCTGTCCTTCTTCAAGTTGCTTTTGTATCCATTTCAGTGCCCTTGAGATGTCTCTTAGCTCATTCAGCCTTGAAGATTATTGTAGGGTTCGTTCTAGTCTGATCCCAAGGTTCTGTCATGGTTTCTTCTACAAGTGACCCTATCCCCCTGTTATTAGTCTAAAATCAGACTGGTGTCATGGAGGACAGAACTCTGTCTGGAAGGGTGGCAGCAGTAGAGGTCATTAGGGAAGGATCTATACAAAATGTATTGCTGGGCCTGAAACTCTGTCCTTGGCCTTCACAAGGTACAAGTCTTCAGGTAACTGCACACAGAAAAACAGTGTTTCTCTCCACTTAATATCTGGGTGATCTGGGTGCTGGTCACTTTTTCTGCTCCTTCTAAGTCATAATCCTGTGTAATAGCACGGTGGTGTATGCTAACAGCGTGCTCATTTACTCTGCTATTGGCAGCGACTAATTTATAAAATATCTAAATCATACCTCTTGGGCAATGAAGGACTAAGGGCCTTCAGAAAAAATATATATATGGGCAGGAAGCCTCTGGTGAGGAAGTGGGAAATAGATAAGGTCTGGAAGTCAAATGTATTGTTAACAGAGGTAGTGGTGGCAGGCTACCTAAATGGTATTTTCACTCTGTGCATTGGGTGCATAGGGGAACAAGGCACAACTTATCACATGCTCTGCTCTAAAGCACACTGAATTCAGCTTCTGTTTAGTTTCCCCCCTCTCCTCCCAAGACATTCTACAGTTTGAAGTGACAATGAGAGTAAGGTTTTGTCAATAAGCATGGTGAGACAGATAGTCAGACCAGAGATTGGACCTACTCTAAGAATTTCCATATCGATTCTTTAATGAGCTGTAAAAAGCAAGTGGAAACTCTGCCCTTAACATGAGAAGAAAGCTTGCAGCTCTGCATTAAGCCACAGACTTCAATTATCTCTTGTCTCATGCTTCAGAATTTCACTCAATCCCTGCAGAGGGCAGTGATGATTTTTTTTTTCCCTCTCTGAGCACAGATTATTTACAATATTTTTCCCCCCTTTAAATCAAACAGTGGATGAGATGAATAAGTACTCTGAAGTGTTACAAATTATCTTCTTTGTTAGTTGTGTGCTTGATTGGTTACAGGAGCAATACCTAAGTTATACTAAAAACAAGATCTTTGATTGTGAGAAAACTTTTTGGTATGTACACCTAACGAAATAATGTGGTCAAACTATTCTGTTCTGTTGTGCTATTTCAGCTCAGTAAGGAGGTATTTCCATGAAGATAAATAGCCAATAAGGTACAGAGACCCAAACTGCATCTGTAATGGTCCATTTGTTCTTCACATCTTTGAAATCTGAGTAGCATGTTATTCCGCAAGTGCTCTCACTGAAGTCAAAAGATTACTTGTGGCATTCAGTACCACTCAACACAGATGAGTACGACTGTGTATCCTGATATCTATTACAAAAGGAAATGTTTTAGTTACAGATTGAAAATAGAATAGGTATGTAGGAGGTACCACACATTGTAGAGAACTTATCTCACTGCTTAATAGCTGTTTAATTTACAAAAATATTTGACTCTACAAGTTTTCTGTCTTGAGTAAGATTATCACTATATGTTCTAGCTTTATCATAAACTAATAAACTTGATATATTAGTCATTTATTTGCTTGAGACATCAACTTGCAAAACAAATGCAGGTTGATTCAGTTGATAAAAAAAAAAAAAGCAATGTCATCGCAGAGACACTTCTAACTAACATTTTTTGAACTAGAGACAATGTTACCTGTGGTAGTTCACTATTGTATCAAAAGATGGGCTGAATTCTTCTGAAAAAATTGGAGAATCTCTGGCAACAAAAATATCTACCTACATAATAACATGATGGATGAAGCAAGTAATGTATAATTACTTGAAAGTGTGTTGTTAAGGTATATTTGAAGGGGTTCACATTTACGTGTGACAAATCCTTTAAAATATTTGTCACTGGTTATAAAATTACTTAAATTATTCTTCTATAGGCTCAAATGCCACTCACTACAGCAGTTTTATGGCTCAACATTATTCTAACAGGCATTGACATCAGCAAAGCATTCAACAAAAAACATGGTTAAACAAAAAGCAAGTTTAATGTCTCCTGGTTTTTAGAGTACAGAACTCTGTACATAACCATCATTTTTCTCATCCAGTGAGAAGCACTCTAACTCAATTAAAATCTGTCTCTTCTTGTTAGAACTTCGTTTGTCTTTCCACAATTTGACAAACACTCTTAGGAACCAATCAGCACATTTTCTAAGTAATTGGTTGAAGCACTCTTTTGTCCTTCAGCTTAACTGTGGAAAAGATATCATTCCATATTTAATAAACATGTTGAGGTAATATATGAGTGCATGTGATGTGTGTGTACATCAAAAGGGATCATTTTTTTTTTTGTCTCTTTTTAGTGACAGAAATTATAGGAGTAGCTGTGAATATAATCCTCCCATTACACAGTAAGGACATGAAATAAGATTTCCAAACTTGGTTACCTATACCAATTCTGAGAGTTGCTCAGAAAGCAACTGACTGAAGCTAATAGTTTCAGCCTTATTTCAAGCACACCATTCCATTACATAATTTACCTTGATACCCACCAGTGACAGTTATTTACCATCATTTTTTTGTTTTTTGTTAATTTATCATTTTGCCCAAAACACTGTAAAAGCCTTAAATATAATATAGCCTTGATTACTTTATGTTATTAAGGCAAAAAAAATAAATAAATAAACTTCACCAAGAAGTTCAGAATGACACTGGATAGGAAATGGTATAATCTCTTTTTTTTTTTTTTAAACAATGACAACAACAAGAACAACAAAAAAGACCAGCAACTACACTTTAGCTGCAGCATTTTTAAAAGTCTAGTTGTCTGCATTTTTACTTCATCTGAATAATTCTGTATATTAACTCTAACCACCATTATTACTTTTTAACGGCTATTTAAAGTACTGTGAGATTTTGTAGAATTTAATGTAGAAAACCAAAACAGCACATTTACATAAAAATTCAAGAGAAAAGGAATGTTTTTCTTGGAAAATTTAATGAAAAAGTACAAATGCTTACCTTTGTGTTTGGGTGGCATAACTGTTATCATATGCCTCATAGCTTGGATCATCGTATTCACCCCCATATCCATCATCATATCCCTAAGAGAAAAATAAAACACCAAAGCTTAAAAGAGTGATAAATCAAAGAATATTATCAAGCCATAAAAGTAATCTGCATCAGCATATACATGCTGTGTTTGCCCAATATTGTGGGCAACTTGCAGCCTCCTAACAAAAATGGGGAATTGTGAAGAAAAACCTGTATGTTGCTAGTGCAAATAAATCAGTTACTCATTTAAGAATGGAATTTATTCACTGATAAACTGTAGTGCATTGTACAGGCCACAGTGCTTCAGCACGATCAATTTAGTCTACTGATAAATGATAATGAAAGCAATCTTTTCGCAGCAATTTGTTATATAAATGGTTCCATAAATACCTATAGGCAAAATAAACAAATGGCAGGAAAAATATAATATACTGACTGTACAGCATTATAACAAAAAGAAAAATAGAGATAATCTTGGCAATGATTTCTGATATGCTGGAGTCTATGTTCATTCAAAGACAGGACAGCAAAGTAGTCATGAAATGTTGTATGGAAACACATTTTGTTCTTATAGTTATTATTTTCATTTTTCTATGAATTTTGGGAGCTGATATATTTGTTAAATAGAGACCAAATATTTTGTAGTTACAAGAAAATTTACCTGTTATGCAAAGTGGTAAAGGAATTATGGAGCTTAAAAATCTGTGACTAAATATGAATTATAGCAGAAGGCAATTGAGTTTTTTCTGCAAATAACCCAAGTGCAGTTAGTCTGGGTAAAAGGGACAGAACACGGCTGCTCCAAAATGACAGGATTCCAGTAAACAACCAATCTGGTAAACTGTCATAGTCATGTAAAGTACAATGTTTGATATTTCATTATTTCTGCTAATTAAACTCTATAACTGTATTGAACTACACTGGTACACACAATTTTCAGAAAACATTCCAAGGAGGATGCATTCAGTAACATCTCAAGCATATTAAATTTACCTATCCTTCTGGTCTCTGATTGATCAGGGAGCATGAGTAAAGACTTCAGGTGAGAGACATTGCCCCTGGGGTACCACATGGCCTAAATGAAGAACAGGGTACAGACCTCAGATGGTAACTCCATTTCTGAGGCACCCACATCAGCTTGCAGTATAGCAAAAAATTTTCTGGGCAGGAGAGTGAGTCACACTTTGAGATTGGGAAATAACCTCTGCAGAATCTGAAGCCCACACAAACCCCCTTCTATTTCACACTGAAATGCACCATTTTTTTCCCCTCATTAATATAAACTCATAGCAAAAAAAAAAAAATAAAATAAATAAAGCTGAGAGAAACAATGAACCACCTGACACAGATGTTAGTCACATTGATTAGCATGCTACTGGGTAGAATCCAGACACTGTGAAGAGGGTGATGCAAGTTCCTATATAAAGTAGAATAATAGCTAGAGGAAAAGACATTTCAGCATGCTTACTCACTATATGAGAGAACAGAAAAGGCAAGAATTACAAATTAGCTCTTTCAGTGTCTCGATGCCTGAGGTGGATCAACGTTCAGCACCAGTAGGGCAGAGAACTCTTGTTAATACTTGACACTTTGCGTTACAGATTTTAACAATTCCCCTAAAGGCTTAGAGCAGGTCAATATAGTGCAAATATTTTATGTGAAATGGCTGGAAAACAAGGACAGAGTAAAAAGCATGATGTTTCTTTAATAAAGAATAAATATTTTCCAGAAAGTGTTCTATTATTTGTGCCATTCTGTAAGAGAATTATCTTCTAATACCACAAGTGAACTATTAATATAAGGTACCTACAAGAATTTTTTTCAAACAGTTTAATATGCTGTATTGTACCCAGACACACTTGTTCTAAAAGCTTTCAGGCAACTAAAACGAGAAATAGCTCTGCTCACATTCCTAAAGTGTCTCAAACTTGCCAAGCATTTTTCTTCTGTTAAATCTTTAGCTCCTCAGCACCTACAACTTTAATGTTTGAAAACATTTCTTTTGTGCACATTTTGAGAAATGACACACCCAGCTCCCATCGTACTTTGCCTGGGATTTCCCCTGGCCCTGCAGTGGTACATCCCAAACAGGAGAGAAAGGAACAAAAACATACTTATGGAGCTGCGCTGAAGTTAGAAATATTTAAAAACACTAATAAATGAGTTTGAGGAACTACAGTATAGTTCAGAAAGGCATTTTTTTTTTTTTTAAAGTGGAAATTCTAAAGAAATTAAAAAAAAAAAAATACAGCTCAATCCAAGAAAGGACTAACTAGACAACAAGAATGTTTAAGTATTTATCATCCTTTCCTGACAAAGTGAAAATAAGAAAACTATTAGAAAACTCTCAGAATAACATATGAAATTAGCATTGGGAGCACTCACTTCAGGAGCAAATATGCAGTCCTATACTACAGAAAATTATAGTCAGGAGAAGAGTGTACTAAAAAAGAAAAAAGTACACAATTGGAAAAAGGCTTAGATTCTACTACCTCAGGAGGAGTTAAGTATTGATTTGATTCAACACCCAAGATATCTTTTGTAAAGTCTTATTTTATTTATTTAGATTTGCTTAAATCCTCTCCAAGCTTCAGATGCTGAAAGAAACGTTAAAATATATATAAAGAATAACAAGGGCAGGCTAATGCAATCCTTTCTCTTTAAACATGAGTTACCTACTTAACACCCAAATGTTAAACAATAACAGACTCAAATGCACCAAGTTTAAATTATCTCTTCTCTGAAGAGCCTTACAAAATAGGATTTTCACAGCATGGTCTGAAAAATGGTAGGTTTCATCTCTGGGAGGCCAAGAAGAAAAATAATTCACATGCTTCTAATGAAAATGCCTCGCAGTATTTTAAATTCAGTTGTCCTGGTAATACTCGATAAAATACATTGTAAGGAAATCAAAACTTTTTTTTTTTTTATTATAGAAGAAAACCCAAACTCTTTCTAAAACAGCCTACTTCTATATGTCTAGACTTCAGAAGGAAAAAAAAAATCACCAAAAAAAAAAACAACACCAAAAAAACACACACAAACCAAACCAAAACAGTAAGTCAAAGTAAATTTAGTTATGCTACTCTGTAACTTGGCAAATATGTGAACATGGGAAAGGTCTGAAAGTCAAGCTTCTCACTAGCTGTAGCCCAAAAAAGTACCCCTGGACTTAGTACCCCTGGAATTAGTACTCTACCTCAAAGATGGTGAATATATAAAAATTCACTTCTAATTGTAACTCTGTATAAAACTAGGAGTTCCCCAGTAAATGAGCCTTCACATAGTTTCCTCTATTTTCTCCAACTGGCTTCTACAAATCTACATGTACAAACATTGTCTCTCTCTTTCGCTGTTGTGACTCAACCACATCCATATTCTATCACATGTCCATATCACCTTACTTTAGATGTCTAAAAGACAGTCATCTACTATCTAGCTAGTGGTAAATTCCTTTTACAAAGAGGAAAAATAAAACATTTCTAGAGGATAATTCATAGCACACACTCTTGACATCTACCTGAGGATGAGTTGATTTGCTCTTTAAATAAGAACTTTCCTTTCAATGACTATAAAGGGAGAGCAATGTGAATGTGCAAGATTTAGATCTAACTAACCTTTAGGTATGTAAGTTAGTTCCTCATTTGAAGAAATTTATTGTATAGAGAAAGCTTATCTTGCAAAAATGAGCACTTCTAAGATTAATTGTGAATCAACCAGAGATCGAGAATGCAATCCAGAACATTCTGAAAGATGCCCAGGGAAAGGTGGGAATTTCAGAATATCATCTTAAACAGACAGTACAGTGTTCAGATTAAGATCTCGTCAGACAGTTTGGTACATATCCAGATCTCAGGCTATGGTAACAGCTATGGGAAATTCTAAATCCCACTCAGTCTACTATATGTTAAACACTGGAAAAAATATGTAGGAACATCTGGAAAGCCTTCTCATTCCATATGGATGACTTATGCCTTTGGCTAGTCATGCTGTCTGTTTGTCTTAATAAATCTTCACATTTTTCTTGCAAAGAGCATTTAAGGCAGGGATCAGCAAGCACAGCTGTACCATCCACTGCTTCACTCCCATCACCATATTCTGATGGGCAAGGCATTCTGCAGAAGGGTGGGAGGTATGTTCCTAAAGTATGTAGCTTGGAAATGGTAATTTTAACCAAGGTTTCCATCTTTTTAAGTAGGTCACAGCCATTATACTTGGGCCTGTAGAATTGTCACCTCCTTCTCTACTTGTTCCTTAAAAAAAAAATATAAAAAAAAAATGCAGATAACACTGTCATTTGGTGTTCAGAATAATTTGTGAATGGTGAGTTAACTGAGCCTCACAAGAGAGTTATATGATGAAGAAGGGGGATGACTTACATTCTACCAGTCACACATACCCATTTGGTGTTCAGTCCCCACATTGTTCTAAGATAGTGACAGCTGAATACATGCAGAGGAACAAACCTCAGGACATTAATTTTACATAATTTAGACAAAGGGCAATTTCTCCCTACTGACTTCAAAGAGGGTTAAAATGTAATTACTTTAGATTTGGATTATTTAGTGTTGAAAACCTGCAATTAGAGCAGATGAATTTCACTGAAGTACCTGGGAGGTTAGTCTTCTGCTGAACAAAGATCCCCAGAAACATAATTTATGCTTAGAAACTAAAATTCTGTCTAAATTCTTCCCTAAGTACTTGTGACTGTTACCATAGCTGGCCTTGATTTCTTCAGCTATACCTCCTGGGTCAGAAAAAAAAAAAAAAAGAAAAAGAAAAAGAAAAACTAGATATCATCAGTTGAAGATGAGATATATCCTCAGTGCTAGTGAGATCTCACCAAGCGTTTTGAAGACAAACTCAAAGAAAAGTAAGTAGAGCAGCATTATATCCATCAAAATGATAAATAACAGTAATAACAAAAACTATGTTAAAATTAAAATGGGAATGCTAATCAACTGAAAAATCAAAGCTCTATGCTATGGACTTCATGAATGCATTGTAGGAACTAGAGTCTACAATGATAAAACAGCTGAGAGTATATCTG